CGTAACTTTTGACTTCATTATTAGCTTAATCTGAGATATATTAAGATTACTGGGGTCAGTATTTATCTCTTGGTGCACATCGATGCTACAGATGGGCTCATTCTCCCAAATGCTGGATGCAGATAAGCAGCGTAACCTGCAGGGGAGTGGGCCCTAAAGACCAGGCTGGGGGCCTCTACCCCCTCATTGCTTTCTTTCCTTTTTTTGAGTTTTGGTCAATAGATTCTCCCACATGAGCAGTGAATGTCTGCAGCTCCTCCAGTTACCATGGCTGCTTCTCAGTTAAACACCCTCCCTGCCAGGCCTCTCAGTTTAGATGTCCATCTCTGTCTGGATATGATTGGAGTTTAATATTTCTTTTTAAACCTGTTTAATTTTTGCTTCCAGGCCCGAAGAGGAGAGCAAAGGTTAGACCAGCGCCACCCCGCCGCGGCGAGACCCAGACCATCAGAACGGCAGCGCCCCCACCTGGAGTGGGTATGTCATCAGAGCGGGACGGACCGGGTTTACATCAACCATCGTGAGCACTATGTGTGACAGATCTCCTGAACACAGTCCACCAATCAGCAGCAGTGGCTCTGCCCAAGCAGCACCCAGCATATGAGCTTCACCTGATGACCGGGACACAGGAGAGGGGGGGACTGGTGGCAGCAATAGAGGGACATTTCTCACCATGCAGGCAGCTTTCATAATATTTTACTGCAGAATAAGGGGAAAGAGTTGAGCATTTAGAGGGAACAGCCTGTTCTTGATGTGAGCCGTCTCCCTGAGACGCTGAGAATGAGCAGCTCTAGACGAACAGACTGGGAAAGGAGGGAACATCCAGTACCGGGCACTAAACGTCTCACTCTTCTTATTTTGGAAACTATTCGCCTTTTATTTAGTAGAACGGATCGTTTTAATGAAAATCTGTGTTTTAATTCTTTCCCTGACTTATAAACAATAGGGGTGTTTTTCCATTAGAGTATGCTGATATAGAACCGTAGGTTTAGGATAAGTTTTCAAGCAGTCAAAAAGTTTTCATCCCCTTTGAAATGTTCTAACTTTACAAGCTCAGAACTTGGTGGATTTTTATGGGATTTCATCTGACAGACAAACACGAAGTGGCTCAGAGACGAAATTTAAATACATGATATGTGAAAAAAAAAGTATTCAGCCTTTTACTCTGCTTTCCACATCTAGAGAAGAGTTTTACCCATTCCTCTTGGTATATAGATTAACCTCAGTCCGGTTGGATCAAAGATACAAGAACAGTCTGGATTGGATTTACACATGAACTTTGCCTAGGCCAGGCTTTACAAAAAAAAAGCCTTCTGGAACAGAAACACATGTAAAACTTTCAGGGTTGGGGTTCCTGAGGACCTGCTCATTTGTAGCTCTAATCTGTGTTTACAGTGTTCGATCCTTGGTTTAAATCTCAAGTCTTTAACGGGTTTTCCCTTTGGATCGTTCCATATTTAGCTCCACCTTTCTACCAGCTTCCTGCTGAGAACAATTCATTTTATATCCCTACAGCATGATGCTGCCCCCACCATGTGTCACCCTGCGGTATTGGGTGTTAAAGCTACGCTGTGTGACTTTTAGCCTCGAGTGATGCCAGACCTGTAAATTTAGCAACTGACAGCGCTGCACTGTCACTAAATGAAGGAGTCTGTGTCAGTGGAATCTGATAGGGGAGAGTTATGGTGTTCCTGGTGAAGACTAGGCCACCTTCATCAATTAAAGGTCAGACCTGCAACTTTTTCATCCAAAACAATACAGTTTTCTAAAGTAGTACCTCCATAGAACATGTAAAGCTGCACAGAATAAAAGTTAATGTTGCTGAAGAAAAAAAAAAGCATATTAATCATGTTATGATTCCAACATTTACATAAAAGGACCCTCTACCAATAGAAAAAGTGGGTTGATGGAGCTTAGGTGTTGATGGATCATAGTAGCTCAATGATAGAGCTGAGAAATGGCCTAAGGAAAACAAAGGAAAACATCAATCAGGCTTTGGAGCCTTGGTTCTGAATTAAGGAAGCAAAGGGAAAGTTGTTGCTTTCCTTCTGAACTGCCAAGTATAGGATCAATCAGAATACCTCATATTGTAGCTCGTAGCTCCTATTCCTTTACCTTCCGCGAGGTCAACAATAAGAACTCTATCCAGGGTAGGAAAGGAGCCTTCAGCCCTACAGATGTCCTTACACATCATACACACACATGAATGGCTGAGGTCAATTTTGGACTGCAGCCTTCTGGAATGAAGCTAACTGCTGAAACTTTCTGTTATAAAACCCAAACACATGAAGCTGTGTACATGAACATGTCCCACACAGGACAGGGAATAAATAAAGGTTTTTGATAGACTCCATGGAGCGGGCTGTGCCTGAATCTCCTGTCACGCAAAAGATTGTGAGTCCATATAGCTCTCAGTGGCAGCTGGAGACATCAGGAGGTCCCTATGCTAAATGAATTGGTTCTAGAAAGCATCCTGCTTTTCTCTTGCTCCTTCCTTACTTCCTTAAATTCAGATAGGACTTATTATGGTAACAGCTGACACACTTCTACCATGGTTTAAGTGTCCTTATCGATTTGAGGTATTACGATCAAGCCTTTATGTTTAGTTTGATGTAGCAAGCATTAGCGGACCTGGCAACTGTCAGGTAAAAAGTTCCAAAGGAGAACAGGCGAGTGCGTTTTTACCCCTTACTGACAGGGAGGCATTAAACTTGTAGCTATCAGCTTTACAGCATATCCTCCACCAGAGAACCGGAGATATTATTAGGGTCAGATCTAAGAACAATTGTTAGCTAAAGCCTCTTTCCAGTTGAAATTAGCAGGTTAACGCGTGTTTTTCAAACACCGGACGGCCTGCTAACAATCAGCATCTGGCTCCATCTCCCTTCTCACTGGCTAAAAAAGTTGGCAGCTGCATGGCCAGTAACTGCATGTTTGTCTCTGCGTTGCCCTGCGATGGACTGGCGACCTGTCCTGGGTGCACCACGCCTCTCGCCCATAGACAGCGGGAGATAGGCAACAGCACCCCTCGTGACCCCACTTGGGATAAGCGTTGATAGAAAATGAATGAATAGAAATACTGTAACAACGGTTAAACTTTTTCCGCTATAAACATGTTATACAGCTTAAGAAAGCTTAGATTCTCCACAATTAACCACAAAGTTATCTCTATGGACACCATGAGCACCAAAGCACAATTAATAAAGATATAGCAGCATGTAAAATCTAAATTTTTAAAATAAAACTTTGACTTCCTACCTCTGAAACGTTCCAGAGGCTGTATTATAAATCCAGTCTTAGATTGTTTATATTCCATTTGTCCATAAGGGTCCACAGATACAAGTAATCCAGTATATTTGTAATAAAAACACTCCATAATGAGAAAATCGCCACATAAAGTCTGTTTTTACCATCAGAAAAGTTTGATCCTTTTAGCTGATGCTTTCCATCTTGCTAATCACCATAGCTTCCACAAGTAATTCATTTCAGGATTATTTTGGGGGGAATCATAAGTGCAAGAATGCCATCCATCAATTAAATCATTTTAGATGAATCTGGACACTTAATTTCGAAGAAAATCCTCTTTTTAATACCTGTAATGGTGGTTGTGCCATGTTCTGTTGTTTTTTTTTTTTTTAGATCTAATTCCCTCTTTTCAGATGTTTGCTGTTTCAGTTTTATTAATGAACAGCAATTAATCGATTTCCTTCCACTTCATTTTTTAGCTGCTATGCGTTTGTCCTTCACGCAGAATCCCTTTAAAATACGTCTAACTTGGTTCTAATGTGACACAGTGTGGTACTTTTCCAAGTAACTGTAATCGTAGTGATTTACTTGTCTAGCACTATAGGTGTGGCGACAGTAGTGAAAGGATTTATTGAAGTGAATCTTAGTTAAAGAGTTTTAATGCTGGTTGTTTTTATATTGTCCTGTGAGCCACAGACCACTGTAACAATGATTTACTCCACTGTGACGAGCTGAATCTGAGCTGTGTTCCTGTGTGACCCATTTACATGTATTAAAGTGCACATTTTTTCCCAGCTGGGTCCCTGTGTGACGCATGGAAATCACAAACACAGCAAGTTAAAAAGAGTTTAAAGAAAAAGGGGGGGATTGATTTTGAGCTGCTGTGTAACGTCAGATGGCTCTGCATGAGCGTGTTCAGTGAGCTTTTTAGGTAAACACTGACAAATGGAGGCTCTGAGTCACGATTTAAGGCAGTAAAGAGAAGCTGTCCTTGAAGAAATAGAGAGTGTGAACTGACGCAGTTTTTTGCTTTTTGTATTCTTTACTTTCTCTGGTAAAGAATAAAGATCTCAAGGTTTGCAACATAGAAGAAAAGGGACGTTTTTTTTTTTGTTTGTTTTTGATTAAACATTTTATAACAGCCGTGTAATAACAGCTAGAGGTTTGCCTGGAATCATGTTCAAAGGGTTTGAGGTGTATCATAATATGTCACCTACACCAAGATTGCCCCCTGGTGGTTAAATGTGCCATAAAACCTATAACTATGTATGAAAGGGATATTTACTTTATTTAAGGTTTAGGGGAAAATGTCTTCCCTTTATATTCCTGAAAACCAGACAATCTCTTAAAAAAAAAAACCGAACCAAAGAATTAAATAAAAAAAACAGGGCAACAGTTCATTGTTTTAAATATTTAGATCAGGGGTCTTCAACGTTTTCCCGGCCAAGGACCCCAAACTGACGGCGTGATGGAGCAGGGAACCCACTAATTTTATGTATATTGTATAAAATAGTGTTATATCAAACTGGTCCTATAGTCACTCTATTACAGATGGAGTAATGTAACGAAAGTAATTTCACCCTGGGGTGATTAAAGTATTTCTGATTTGGAGTCCTTAGGTGCCCAGCTTGAAAGAGCTCCTGTGTGTCGCTGAATGTGTGCATTGATGACTGAAAGACATCTTCTCCCTCCATTAATCTGTTTACTACAGTCTGTTGAATTCATGTTAATGTGTATTTAAAGATATTTCAATTAGTCGAAAAAATTGCAGGGGGGGAATATAAAAAAAGTCTAATCAACCAAAACCTTCTAGACCCCCATGCAGTACCTCTGTGGACCCCCTTTGGGGTCACAGACCCCCCTGTTGAGGACCTCCAATTTAGAGTGCAAAAATCCATTTGTAACTCCGGAAACCTCAGCTCTAATAGATGAAAACTAAGATCATACCTCAATATGACTAAAGTGCAACAACTTAATTTATCCATCATTTTTAAAATAAAGATTTTTTTTTTAATCAATGTTGTTCCAAGGAACCTATCATGTATGGTTTCTCTGCCACCTCATGTTTATTTATAATGAATTCATTTAGAGTTATGTCTTTACTACAGGGGCCCTTGCCCCGTTGGCCCCGTGTAGAACACACTGATGCTTGTTACACATTGGCGGCGTCATATTGAATCTACATGCATTTGGTGTTTCCAATAAAACTGCAAATTTTTACCCGTGTGCACTTTTGGCAGAATTCTGACTTCATATTAAGATTCAAACGTTTCTTTTTTTAGTAATTACTTTATGAAAATAAAAAAGTATATCTTATATCGCAATTTAGTTTAAAAATATTGAGATATTATGATTGGTCCATCCCAGCCCTAAGCTGGGGATATGGACCAATGATGTTTTATCATCATTGCAAAGTTTTTGTTGGCAGCATCTCTTTAGCAGCCATTTTTATTGTCAATATTCAATAACCTCTAACTTTAAAAGATGGTTTTCCTGCAGTTCACAGCAAAAGGATGAAAGTTAACATGACTTTCACCAAACTAAAATAACCCAAAACATAAACCTAGAAGTTCTTACGACTACATTTTTTACACTGATTTCTTTTAGTTTCAAGTTTTTACGGCTCAATGGTTTTTTAACTCATCTTTTATCATGTACAAATGGTGGATCTCTCAGTGCACAAAATGTTTATAGCAAATGACTTTTATTAGGGAGCAACATCCCAACAGGAAACAACAAACACAGTGATAACCAGTGGAAGTATTGACACAACAGTAAGGATTTCTGCAGGAGCTTTAAGCTGCTCAGTCCTTAGAAAATCATTTATTTATACATTAGCATCAATTTACCATTAACATACTTCCAGGATTTCCTGTTAATTTCATGGCAGAAAAATGTAGTTTTAAGAACTTAAGTTTAAAGCACACGAGAAAAAAATAAATGTAGAAATGCTGATGGCCAAACGGGCTGCAGATCTGGATCCAGACATCACCAGATGAGAAAACATCTGAAGGCAGAATGCACACATGCTACTGATTTCTAAGCTCGTTAAGACACTGTAGTTTGTTTGGTTTTCACATTGATTTGACGCGCTTAAGGCGGTGGTACCATCACCATGCACCGGCTCAGGGTTGGCAGCTAGCTGTCTCAGGAAAGAAAATTCCCCCTTAAAGACTGTAAAAGTAGTTTTAGCCCTTATTACCGAGAACAGTTTAGGTTACAGACTTTAGTAGGTTTTACTGTATGTTAAGGACCAACAGGAGGAGGTGCATTATTTTGAAGTATCTAAGAGCCGTCGCTGGAGTTTCAGTTTGGCTCCATAAATCCACACGGGCAGAAATGTGGGCCAAGCTCAAACAGCTTGGACAAAGAGCAGCAGTCTTTTTCACAGGAATCTGGCCTGGACTTTGACTAGGCCATCCCCAGAATTTAATCATCCTGGTGGCAGATTTTAGCAGTTTGTCCTCCTGGAAGGTGAAAATCATCCCCCAACTCAAGACTTCTGCAGCCTCCAAAAATGATTCCGCTCCGCCTGAGCTTCCCTGTCCCTGCTTAAGTAACGCATTCCTACATCATGAGATCACACCCGGTGTGTCCAAGGTTCATGTTTGGCTTCACAATGATGAACTAATTGGTGTTGGTCTGTCTCAGAAAATCCCAATAAAATACACGGAAGTTTGAAGTGGTGACAGTTAAAGATGTCTGAACAATAGACACAATTTAAGCCCTTCTTCTGGAAGGTTTCTGTGGGTTATTTTTGGAAAAGAAAAACAAATCCACTTAAACTGGTCAATGGTAAATCTCCCAGTCGAGCAGGAACTGGTCATTGAGGTTTCATCTAATACCAACTTTTCTCTGGTGTTTTTACCGAGATACTCTCTGTGAGCAGCTGCTTTACTTACTTTCACAGTAAATTAGATCTAAAGGTTTGAACAGTTGGAGAAAAGATTAAGACCAAAACTTTCTTCTAAAGAGAAAAAAAAAAACAGATTTACCTGCTCAGATTAGAGGCCATTACACTTAAATGCGTACCTTTTTTATTAGTTTTTTAGTGTATTGCCTTTTGCACAGAAAATGTTCTGAATAAAGCAAAATAGTTTATATTAAAAGATATTGATTTTATGTCTGCATGTGAAAGAGGTAAAGAGTTTCCTGCTTTTGGTTTCTCTGTGTCTTGTAAAGTGAGATTTGAAAAAATTTGAATTCAGAATTGTTCGGAAAAAAAATATTAATCTGAGGTTTTGGGAGTTTTTCTGTTTTTTTGCTCAGATTTTTTTCTCCAAATTATTTACTTCAGATTTACTTTGCACTTTACAGATCCCTCCTCTTCACTCCATACTAAAGATAGTTGAAAGCATAGTTTGAAGCAATTTTCACCAGATTTTTAAGGTCTGACTTTAACTTTTTGCCACCAGAGGCGCTACACCAGAAACTTCCAGGTTCACCAACAGAACTGCACAAGATTCTGATAAAAAAAAACTTTGGACCAGTAGATCTTAAGCCTCTTTCTCAATAAAAAAACCAGGATACACTTTTTTCAAACATGGTTGTCCTGCATTTTGCCCCTTTCCCATTGACTAAAAAAGCTGATCTAACCCTCGATGGCAGCTGCATGTCTGTTGATATCATCATGCTGGGTTAGCGCTGTTGATGTTACCAGCGCGATATAAATCAGGACAGTAAACAATGGAGAGCAACATGGAAGGAAACGGCGTAGTCAGTGTCCAATCTATTATCTGTCAGAATCCCTCTCACCATGTTTATCGAATGAGAGTTGTTTCTGCGTGTTAGATCAGACGTGACTGGCGGGGTATGTTGACTTCGATACGTTGCGTTCAATGGAATCACGTAATTTAGCATGCCGATCAGAGCCGAGGAGGTTTTAACGTGGGTCGCTTGCCGAGTTGTTTGACCTGGATAGACACGCGTCAATGAACTGTTCCCACTGCCACTGAAAGCCCATTGTTCCCCGGTTTAAACGGGTTTTTCGGCCAGTGGGAAAGGGGTATAAGAGTCCTGGAGTTCCTGGTAAAGGCGAGGAGACATTCACCTCTAGATGAAATCCTCCATCAGATAACAAAAAATATGTCTGCTAAAGGTCAGAGCTAAGTAAGCTAACAGTTGCTGTTAGCTTACTTAGCTCTGGTGTTTAAGGAAGGCACAGACTAACGGAAAGCAGCCCTTTCCCATTCAGGGACGGATCTTGCCCTCAGAGGGAGCAATAATTTGCATCTGGAGATGAAGACGGAGCTGAAAAGTCATTGAATGAGTGTGGTTTAAGCTAACATGTGTCAAAAGCTACATAGATTTGCTTTAAAAGTGACACCTTCTGGCAATCTGACTGATATACAATCTGATGGTATTAAAACTTAGCTGCTTAAATCTGTAAATCAGCATAATATTTAGCACTGACCCCTGGTCGTCAAAAAAAGGGACGTTTTTTATCTAAATAATTCAAAATATAGCGCATATAAAACTGAGAAATCTTGTTTTACGTTAGTGTTTAAAGCAAGTATAAAAAAAAAAATTAAACTGATTTAGAACCAATTCACCTGCAGAGCAGAACAATATTATTTCAAGTCTTTCTGAGGTTCCTAAAACTTAAGCTGAGAGCTTTTAAAAACTACTAGCAGTCAATTTTTTTTTAATTCTACTTGGCAAGCATTGAAGGATGTAAACAAAGAATTAGATGTGTTGTTTCAAGAACTGTTTGTATGAAAATTGTGTTTATGTAAAAAATACACCCGAATAAAAAGATAAGGATGTGTGGAAAAGTGCATGTTCTCATTCATGTGGACATTAGAGTTGCCCACAGAGAGCATCTCAGTAAATAACATTTCCCTCCTCATCCTCAGCCCCTCCTTTTCTCTGTGTGAATGGCAGCTTTGTTTCTGCTGTCGGCATCAATTAAATCTTCCTCCCATAAACAATCACGGTGGAGAGATGGAAATGAGCTGCCCCACCGGCGGCCCCACACACGATGAACCCTTCCAACATTTTCTGAATCCCAAATTCCTTTAGTGAGCAACCAGAGGTTACTTCGACTTGGACTTCTGTTTGAGCGCCGGAGGAGCTGGAGGCACCGGTTTGGAGGCCGGGGCAGAGGAGGGTCTCACCATCTGGTACAGGCCGTCAAACCTGAGAGAAGACGAGGAAAAACATACCAATAATTTAATAGCTGGTATTGAAATTATTACAGAAAGTATATGGAGTGAAGTTTGTTCCATTATGTTGCAAGCAAACAATACATTTGGTAAATGTTTAAATGTGAAAAATAAATGCGAACCAGAAATGAATCTTTGAAAAACATTTGAATCAAAAAAAGCTTTTGAGAGAAACTTTGTTGTTTTCTCTTATTTCATCTTTTTCCAATTTTAGTTTGGAAATAAAAAGTCAAGAACACTTTTTACAGATTTTATATACAAAAAATATATATATTTTGTTTTTTCAAATACTTTATTTTTTCAGATTTGAATTTTTCAAATGTATTTTTTAGGGATTTTTTTGTAAACAGGTTATATATTTCTCTCTCTAAGCTTCATGATATGCGTTCTTCTCAAATTATGTTTAACGAATCACATTTTCTTCACTTCCAGTCCAATATAAACTCGCTGTTGCTAACATCCAGCAGGCCGACAGAAGAGAAGAGAATGTGATCTATAAAATATGGAAAAAATCGTAAAACTCAATTTGAAAAAAAAGAGTAATTTGAAGAGAAGAAAGCATAGCACAATTTTAAATATTTGATAAAAAAAATAAAATATGAAAAATAGATTGAAAAACAGCAAAGTCAATGCCAAAACCATTTTTTTTATTAGTATGTTGTCAAAGGTTTATTTCTGGATTTTATTTTTGTTTTTGTTTATTCAAATTTCTATTTTAAAATGCTTTGCTTGAAATAATAATGTAATAAAATTCACTCCGTGAAATGATATTTTGTTTTTTGGAGCAGATAACTTGCAGATTTCTGATTTTCTTCATAAATGCTCTCAGTGCTCTGGCCACCTTCCTTATCCGGACCTGCCATCAGAACCAGAGGTCAGGATCCCTGAAGCTAATCTCTATCACTGGGTCAAAGATCAACTATTCGTTTAAAAAAAATAAACATTTACCTGTTGTTTTTTGTATAACAAAGGAAGAGAGAAAACTGCAATTACAGCTGCAAGCAAAAACAAAAAGTAATTAAAATCCAAATTTTCATAAAATGAAGGATGTTCAGCTATAAGACCCAGGCAGACGGCCAGCAGCAGGGCCTAGTGTTGGTTTGTTTAGGTACTGGGTGAAGTCACTTACCAGCGATGATCAGAGTCAGCCCATTGGTGGCAACGCCCACATATGTCAGCAGATAGAGTAGCAGCACAAACTGAGACACAGAGGATAAGTTTGATTAATCATAATGTGATCACAGATAAACAGCAGATGGCGCTCCAACGCCATCAGAACGCTCTTTAATTTCAAAGGAGAGGTGCATCGAGGAGAGGTTAATCAGATCAAAGTGTGTTTTGGAGATACTTTGACATGAGGGCAGACGAGCTGATAGGATGGTTCTGCTCAGCTGCAGTTTTTCAAATAGTTACATGGTTTTCTATTTATTAAATCTTAGAAATAAATCACTCAATATACTTTGAATGAACTATAGTATTTATATATAAACAAACATAAACACATAAATTAAATTGGTTATTTATCTTTAATTACATGTGACTCTAGATGACTCGCAGACACACTTTCCATTCTTCCCCATAAAACAAACGTAGTTCTCAAAAGAGCATTTATTATGTATTTGTGATGTTTAACATCAGTATAGTCCTGGAATAATTACCTACTATTTAGGGTCATATCTTCAGTTTAGGACTGAAAAAATTGTCAAATTAGGACATTCCAACTCTAAGTGTCTTTGCTGCCACCCTCTGGTTTAGAGAGGAACTGCTTGTTCTGGAGTCTGCATGGGAACAACAAACTCTGACAGGGAAGATCAGTGATTGGCTAAAGCCGGGCATACACTGAGCTATTTTTTCAATCGTTGTACACAGCTACTGCTCACACTGTACGACAAAACCGCAGGGTTTTGTCGTAAAGTGCAAGATCACAGCTCACAATGCATATTCTCACAATGTGCAACCCGACGTTGAGATGCAATCTAACTGCTCACACACTGTATGTCTAAAAACCACGTGAGACTCAGCTCCGCTGTGAGATGGCGCAAACCGGACTTGTCTATCCAGAAGCTAAACGAGCAGAAGAGGAATATAAAACTCACTAGAATGAAAAATCGTACAGTGTATGCCCGGCTTTAGAGATCACCATGATGGGGGTCCTTAGCCCTGATCGATTTAAAGCAACACACTTTTGATTAGGGATTCTAGACCTGTCATTTTAAGGTCTGGGGAGACAATGACATATTCTCCATTTCCACTAGCCCATGCTGAGTTCGTTAACCGTGCCGAGCTTGGTTCTTAAAATCATTTACACATCACGCTATATTGATTCTTTGCCTCCTATCGGATCCACGGTGCTACGGGTCTCTAGGAAGGAATTACGCAAAAAAAAGGCTGCGCCCATAACATTCAGGAACCTCTTTTCTTGAAAGCGTCCTCTGCCCAAATTTCAAAGGGAGCCTCATTCTCTGCATCCCTCCTTATCCCAGGGTGCACCACACTCTTTTGATACCATTTATTGTTAATAGGCTGAAAAGAAGTGTTGTGAACAAGTGAAGAGATCTGTGAATTACAAAGTCAGACACGCTGGAAAACCCACAAAATTAGTCAGCTGACTGTAAATAGGAGATGACACGGTCTGCTCATTCGCTCTTTGTTATCAGAGGAGCGAGCCACAGATGAATCGCGCCAAGCCCTACTGTTGAACTGGCAGTAGATTTAGCAAGGTTCTGTTGTGTCTGGTGCGGTCCAGTTGTTGCGTTCCATTTACAATCATCAGTTATCTTGGTTGCTTTGATCGGACCGTATCAAAAGGCTAGTGTAAATAGGGTTATAGTTACCAACCTAGCAATTTTTTAGCTATATGTAACTATCAACAAATCTCTGCGCTGTTGGAGACTTGGAGCTCAGAGTTCATTGTCCTCAGCAAGCAGTGAGTGCTGCTGCAAGCCCCGCCCCCCTCCAAATCCAATCAGACTCAGCACCAAATTGGCTGCAGTCTCTCCTGTGTTTCTCCACTGAAAATAAATTAGATGTGCGGAAAGCTTAACTGGTCTGGATTTAAAAGCAGGATGAAAATATATAATTCAATTTTATGTTTTTAATATAACTCTAATAACTGTTGCACTAAAATAGATCCTCCCTGCATTTCATTCATACAAAGCCTCATCCACTGTGTGTGTCCCTGTTACTTTAAGTTTGATTACATGTATGTAGTTTTGGATCAGGTAAAACATTTTAAAAAATTAAAATCTTAAACATATTCAGAGTGTTTTTATTACTTGCTTTATTTTCTTTTCTGCTACCAAAGGATTACCAACTTTGTAACCGGGCTGATGAAGCCATCTACTATAGTGACTTCAAGTTTTTGCACAGCTAATATGGAAAAGTTGGCAGCACTGAACTGTCTCTAAATGACCCAGTCTCCCTCTGTGTTCTGGTATCAGGCCAGTTTGGACCAGTAGATCTAGCAGTCATGAAGTTACTGCTAAAGAAGAGGAAACATTCACCTCTAAATGAAATCCTCCATCAGAGAACCAGAAATATGACTGATCAGCTAAGGGTCAGAGCTCACAGCAATTCTCCGTTTGGTTAACACTGGTGTTTAAGGGGAGCTCAGACTGATGTAAAGTGGTGCTCTGAGTCAAATGACCCATTCAGGGACAGATCCAAAATATGATTACAGGCACTTTTCACTGTCAGGGCCCCACATCACACCCAAGATGCACAAAATGCTTTTAAAAGGGTTAAATGATTTTAAAACAAAATATGATGGCAACTATGGTTAATAAAAGGAAAACACAGCCATGATTTATGACTGGGTGATCCTCAGAGAGCTTTTTGATTAGTTTGTCAAAGTTATTTTGAAATATGAGTTAAAAAAAAGTCACAAAAAAGAAATGGACAGCAGAAAAAAGCCGCGTCTGTCCTTCATTAATATTGGTTAATATCAAATCCTCTAATATTTATCAAATTTAGCTCATACTGGGTTAAAACTGATCAAATGTGGGCCTCTTCAGTCCAGCCTTGTTCTAGGTCAAATATTTTTAGACAGCTGCAAATGTTTGAAATGTTTGCAGATGTACAGAAGCCATTTTCTTATCCTTTTTTTTTTTCATCCTTCTGTGGTATATTTTTCTGTGTTTCTCACTTTGAAGACTAGCTAAGCTCATTACACATCTAGCTGCATGCACGTTGTTACTGAGAAGAAAAGCTGATATGGTACATATTTCTCAATAATAAAAATATAGGAGAGGAAATGTTTTTACTACCACTAGATGGCGCCAAACATTTATGAATCCAACAGTTTTGCTCTGGAATTAGCTTTTTTTTTATTAGTATCACACCTTCTTTCTTGCTCTTTTCTTTTCAATTTTTGTCATGACAACCATGTGCTTTATGTCTTAAACCAATACAAAACGGTGTATAATCTAAAGTTGTAAGTAAATTTAAATTTTTCAATTTTCTTTGCAGATAAAAATCTCCAAAATGTGATGTGCATTTTTCTTTTGCTCCCCTGAGAAAGGTTCTGTGGAGACAATTACAGCTGATCAATGCTCATCTAAAGCCTGAAATTCCTCTGATTCTTTTCTGCAAAACGTCATATTATACTGAAAATGTATGTAAATGGAAATCATGGAGTCGGATCCTCTGTCAGACGTTGGCCTGTACCTTAGTTGGATCAATTAGAGCATTTCCTTTTTGAAGGTGCAGCCAGTATTGTGCCTGCGTGTGCCTCCTCCACTTTCTGTTGTTTAAAATCTCAATAGAAACCTTTAGTTTGAGGTCCTAATGTTATCAAACATGAGTAAGATGACAATAAATATGTAAATGCAGCCCATGTCATCACCACCTTGGGGGTTACCCCTCTCAGACCTTAACAGAGTCGATCATGTTCTCGATGAAGAGAAGTCGTTTGATCTCTGTGACAGCAAACGCAATCAGCAGCACCACCTCTTCGACCAGCATCACCGTCTCCTTATCCGTCAGCGAGCTGTCATAGTCCAAATACGACCTGAGGAAACAGAGTCCCCACCACCCAAATCAGTCAGTTTAGCTCTTCAAATAAAGAGACCTTTTTTTCTTTCTGACATGGAAAGGGAGATCCGGTGAGCATGCAAAAGTAAACCAGAAATGTGGGCAGCAGAGCTCACTGGAAGGGGTGGACTCCAGGGTTCCAGCGCAGAACTTCCAGCAGTTTGTAGTAGAGACGAAGAGAAGCAGTGATGCACATGATGCCCAAGCAGACATGAGAAAGCACGGTGATGGCACTCAGCTGGAAGAGGCTGGCCAGGCCCATCACCAGCCCCGTGAAAACCACACCGGTCCACCTCATGTTCCTCCAGTACACCAGATCCATGACTGCAACACACAGAAGAAAGTGAGGTGCTGGAAACCCATTCACATCCCCACACCCACCGCCAGATACAGTATGCTGCAGCACTTAGATGAGAAGAACTAATCTTCAGATATCTTGGACAACTATTGGAGAAGTGAGGAGGACAGAAGTGAAAAAAAGAGTTCAAATTTAGGTCAGATTTGTTCATATTGTAAATTATGATTTTTCATTTTGGGGTATTAACACGTAAATACTAAACTAATCAATAATTTAAGTTAATAGAAATGCAAAAAAAAAACTTTCTTATTAAAGAGTTACAGGGAGAGAATGGGAATGTTTTAATGTGAACAAAAATTTATGTCTGAAAGGTGTAACGTCTCATTTCTTCCACAGCACGACCCTCACCATGGACAAAGCTGGACTCGTACATACACCAGACACACATCTCATCTCAGTTCTTTAGTTTTTTTCATTTTAAGAAGGAAAAATCACTAATCTAATGGAAATTGCTGCTGTAATCTTGAGCAGACCTCAGCCCTGAGCTGAATCTGGGCGTTGGTGAACACAGCTGCTGGATCCGTACTCAACAAATGTTTACACTCTGGACCGTGTCAACAAGATGACACCCCACCCAGGTGAAAAAAACTCAGCAAATAGGCAAACTTTCTGTTGCCTTTTGTAACTCTGCTTATGTCTCCTTGAAATCCGTCGGCCTCAGCAGATGGTCGCTTACAATGAGTCTGGTTCTGCTGGAAGTTTCTTCCTGTTAAAAGGGAGTTTTTCCTCTTGGTGTGAGGGATTGCCTTTTAGTCAATGAGTCGATGCAATCAACTGGTTTTCCTTAGATAGAAAACTTTGAACCAATTTCACTGTATGATTTGGTGAATTGTAAAGTGCCTTGAGATGACATGTGTTGTTAATTGTCGCTATATAAGTAAACTGCATTGAATTGAATTGAAAATACTAAAAACTAAATGGTGCTTCATTAGTGCAGGTTTGTGCAGTTAAAATTATCATTTGTGAAACTGAATTTCTTTTCTTTTTTTTTTAATAATGTGTGCTGCTGTTGTTTTAGAGATATTAAAGATGATTTTTTTTAGGCCATCCAGGTCAACTCTCCTGCATTAAGCTCCAAAATGAAGAAAAATTATATGCTTTTTCTGTGCTACCTGATTCATGCAGGTCAAATTTTGTTTTTAAGATAATTTTTAATCTCTACCGATGACATCACCATCGCAGCAGACGTTAGTGCTTGTGTTTCAGTATACATAATTGTTCCGTAACATATCCTCTGTAAATTCCTAGTCATCTGGGTCTTAGAAACCAAAAACAGACTTAATTTGGAAGGCAACCGGACTTTCTCTCACTTTTTTTTAAGACTTTTCCACAACTATCCAGGAATCTCTGTCCATTCTGTTGCCTCGCACCAGAGAAAACTAGTTGGAGTGCTGATGGATTTAAGTAGGCCAGATGACCAACTCCATGGTTACAGAACCAATTTAAGCAGGTTTGTAATTGATACTGTTATTTTTTTTTTCTAATCTCAAAATTGCATGTAAGAAGACATTTAGAATTGCATGTCTGTTAAAATGATGGTTTCAGCCAAAATACGAAATTAGATTTTCCATTTTATCTAAAAGCAATTAAATATTTTGTGTTGTATCACATTTATTTATTGCCTGCTTCACCAAACCTGACATTGATCTCATCGATGAACATTTCAACATGGGATCAAGCAAGTTTCCTTTTTTAACATTAGATGAACACATGCAAAGCTGTCGAAAGTATTCATGTTTATTACTCCAGTAGAAGTGTAAATCTTACTGTTTAAAAACACTTTAGTGGGAGTGAAAACTTAAGCTTTTTACTCCTGTAAAAGTGTAAATGTACCATTTCTAAAACTACTTAAAGTATAGAAGGAAAATTAATGCATGAAAAAATGTTAAGGACAGAAGCTTTGCTGCATTACCCTATTAAAGGAACATTTTTCTACAATTCTGGATGATAATTCCTTAGAGTTCATTTTCTTAGTTTTATAATTAATGGTAACGTTGTCAAATTTAACTTTGCATTATCTAGAAAAACTATTTATCTTGGTATGTGGTCAACAACAAGTTGGGGCAGCACAGAGTCCAACCACAAAGAAATTAATTGTCAGGATGAACCAAATTATTTAAGTTTTTTTTTTTGTATTTTTTTAAATACCAACAATGAAAATTAGCTTAATGGAACAACATCAATTAATCTATTTTTAAAATTTAAGTACAACTAACAAGTTGTCTAAAATATAATTACTCCAGCAAAGTATAG